CCATTCCTCAGCGGCACCAGGAGTACCTGAAGATGCTGAGCGAGAGGGAGGAGGCGCTCGGTACGTGCTGGCCGGTCGTGGGCGCTGGACCCCCGGCAGCGGGGCGGCTGCGTGAGGGGCAGGAGGTGGGCGCCCATGGTCCAACACCCTCGGCTGGGCGATTGGAGCTGGAGCAGGGATGCTCGCAGTCACCCTGCGGGGTCGGCTCCTTACGCGTCCCCCTGGGAAGCTGGGCAGTGATGTGAGCGGTGACCCCCTCAGCCCTCTGTCCCTGGTGGGAAGGGGGTCAGGTGGGTTGTACAGAAAAGAACATGCAGGAGGACATTTCCGAGGTGCTAACCAGATCCCCTCTGCTGGGAGAAGGAGCTTGCCCTTCATGCTTGTAGTGCCAGTGTTCAAGCCCCTCCGCCGTCTAACCCTGCATGCAAAGGCTGGGTATCCCACCCGCAGTGTGGCAGTGCAGGAATGAGCGACCATACCTTGTGAAAACTTGGGTGCGTTGCAGTGCGGGATTTCTTGTCTCCCCAGATGAGGCTGATGAACTGGAGCACTTGGTGACATCGCGGACAGAGTCTGTGAACATCGACCACCCAAACCACATTGTAACAGTGACCACTATCAGTGACCTGGACCTCTCAGGGGCGCGCCAGCTGGGACTGACCACCCCTGTGGTAAAGCCTCTTGTTGCTTTTCTGACTGTATCAGCTGTAAGCATTCTTGGGGCTGGCTAGGTAGAGTTGGTACTCCCTGAATATGCCCAAAGACATGCAGCTGTCTGGGAGCAGGGATGAAAAGGCTTTCAGGCACTGGTTGGCTTGATCCTTTTGATCTTCATGACTCATGGCTGGATTTGAGCTCTTTGGGGAAGTGTCTGTGTTAACTGGTTACATTTGTAAGGTCATCTAATCTGAAAATCCACTTAAATTACTATCAAAACCTCTTTAAGAAAAAAGCTGAAACCTTCAATTCATAGTTTAGACTTCAATTGCGTGGCCATTAAAATCATGCTGAAGTTTTTGGATCTTAGGGTGGATTACCGTAGGACTTCTCACTGGTTGTCCCTTTCTGAGGGGCTGCGATAAGAACCCTCGAGATGTGGACAGCAAGGGATGTGGAGGATTAAAAAAACTTCATCCATGACTAGATGGTTCACAATGCAGGATGAAACCAAGAAGGCAGCAGAAACACTGGAATCGCAAGACTGCCTTTTTTAATGTGTCTACAGGGATTTTTTTCTCTTTTGCTTCCTTTTTAAGGGAAAAAGTGATGGATCAGAAGAAGAGAAAGGGGAAGAGGTGGTGAACAAGCCTGTAAGAACAATGCCCAAGAAGTCCAGAAACCCCTTCCTGTCTGAAAAGTATGTATGAATTCATTCAACTCTTTGCTGCTAGGCTCTGCAAGCTGATCAGGAGGATCTCGCCTTCCCAGATCAGCGGTGTGGTTGCAGGGAGGGGATGCTGTGCTGCCTGGGTGCTGGTGGGCAGGAGCCAGCAGAGGGCACTGGCAGAGCACAAGCCTGCCCCGGATGCTCCATTCCCATCGCATTGATCCCTGATGACAGCAGGAGGAGGAGGAGGAGGATGCGGTGCAGGGGGTGCTTTGTCCTGAACTGTTTACCTAGTCCTTCTCCAGATGCTGGAGGCAAAGGTGTATTGCAAGGTGCAGAGTTTGTCTCTAGGATTGAAGGTCAAAAGACCCTAAAGCTTTGGCATTCTCCACATTTTTCAGTATCCAGGATTTACAGCTGCTTTGGGGATTTGGAGAATTACCTAACTCTGTGGTGGCTGACCAGCCCACTGCTCAGAAAATTCGTTTTGGTTGTTATTGCACATGTAGACTTGCAGGTTTTCTGCCCTGTCAGGATGATGCCCAGTACAGTGGAGTTCCCCTGGGGCTTGCCGTGGCTAGTGTCCACTCCTGCTGGGCCACACAGGGCTCTCCTGCTATTGTTGTGTTGTTGCCTTGCTCCTGCAGACTTTAGTCCCCAAACATTTCTCTGTTCTTGCCCTGCACAGGATCTCTGCTCTTACTGCCACGCTGCACATGCACAGCCGAAAAAAGACGAAAGGAAAGAGACCCCAACGTGGGCAAGGCCCACGCAAGAAAATCCAGAAATCCAGCACAGGGCGAACCACTAAGACTCAGCGACGGAGGCTGACAGGCAAAATGGGCCGTGACCAAGATTAACGGAGAAACTAGTGCTTGGACCAGCAGTTGGGACAGCGCTCCACATCTGGCCTGCTGGTCTTCGGAGCCCCTTCATTGTGGGCAAGGGCCTTGTTTACTTGGCTCTCTGACCAGCAGTGAGCCCAGTTCAGCCTTTCTCTCACTGCTGAGCGCTGGCCAGAGTAACTAGACACTCTACCCATTTATTTCTGCAGTGATCTCCAGCTAAGTGTCTGGGTGCCTCAGAGTCTCTAAAAACTTCTACTGGGGGTCAGATTCTCTTTGGCGTAACCCTTCTGTCCTTGGGCCTCCCTTCCAGAGCTGATACTTGGCTTTATTAAAGGAGAGGATCTGGGGCTGAGTGCAACAGGCACATCGTCAGGGCAATTTATGAGATTTTGAGGAGCTCTGCTTCCACTCATGCATCAGTGCCCTGACATTTCTGCTGTGCAGTAAATCCTTTTTCCATGGAGACACTGTGTCATCTTGTCTCATGTGTTTCTTTGTCAGTGCCACTCCTGAATGCAGGGGTACTTTTTGTTTGGTACCTTTGCCAGGTGAAAGTTGGTAACTTTGTGAATAAATCTTTATGAAGTCATTTTGCTAAGAGAAAAATATTTATGACTTATTTGAAGCATAACAGCAACTGTGTTAGCACCAGTACCAGCTGGAAAGAGGGGAGATGATTCCGGGTGCTTAAAGGATATTGAAATCCACTGGTACTTGGGAAATGGAATAGCTAGGAGCTATTTCTGCAGTAACACAGAGCCAGCCAGAGCAGAAAAGAATGTGCCGATCTTAATTGCGATAGCTCAGAGGAGTATGAAATGCCCTAATGCCCTTGCTGTATGTGTGTGGCCCTCTCCGGAATGGGAGCGGCAGAGGCTGCCCTTTACCTCAGGGCTGCTGCAGTCATCAGCAGTTAATTGCCTTTCTTCTTGGGACCTCAGTATGTGTTTTTTAGCATGGATGCCTTCAGCAGGGGAGAGGAAAAAAAAAAAAGGTTTGCATGGTTGAGGAATGCTGGTGCCAAAGCCTGGAGTGAATCCTCTGAGGAGGGGAGTGAGCCTGGGCAGCGTGCTGGCCTCTGTCCTCGAATATCTGTAGGAGATGGTGGCGATTCTGCCTCTGGCAGTTAGGCCCCCTCCCTTGCCGCATGTGTACTGGCGAGGAAATGACAAAAGGAGAAAAGGCCTGTGTGGCCAAAACCCACACCAGAAAACTGGCAAGAGGGCAATGGGCGAGTACGTAGATTCCCCATGCCAGAAATGGGAGGAGGAAGAGTAAACCAGTGCCTGAGGCTTCATGGAGGAACATCAGAGCGATGCTGATGGCCACCAGCTGCTAAAGCTAACGGCACAAGCCTGGTGTCTCTCTCATCATTTCTTGGAGCATGCGTGTGCAAACACACAGAAGTTCTTCAGAGTGTGTTGGCGAGGGGGGTCTGATCTCAATGCTGAGAGCGGCTACGCAATTTCTGCTGGAGCATGTTCCTCTGGAGGGAGCTGTGTGACGCACATGCTTGTGGTGAGGAATGGGGTCCTTTTGCACCTCCCTTTCTCTTCTGAAGAAGGTAAATGGCAGGGAAGTGGATACTGTTATCCCATGTGCCACCGGTGCCTTGTGTGCTTGGACTCCCAAGTCCCATCCTGAGCTCTGACGCTTGGCGCTCTTGGGCACTAATTCTGAATAACCCTGGTCACATCATGAAAGCGCAGTGCGTGTGGTTTCTTCACTTCCAAAATAGCTGTGGTGATCTCTTGCTCTGCCTTAAAGGCCGCTCCAGAAGGCTCATGGGGTTTAATACCCGTCTTCCTGTCTCACCTCGGGGTGTTGGGTGTTTCAGAGCTGCAGAAACACGACTTGGGATCAAGGCCGAAAGCGGTGCATCCAAAGTGTCCAAGTGGTGCCACGTTTAGAGCACAAAGTGTTTCTTGTTCTGGTTTGGGAGTAACATGCTCTAGAGCTGTTCTGCAGGGGTTGGGTTTGAGGGGGATGTAGGAGGGAAGTTCTGTTTGGGGTGCTGTGCCATGCCGAGGGGGCTGCAGCTCAAAGCTGGAGGACGGTGTGTGACACCCTTGGTCTGGTTGCCAAGGGCACAGCAGCTTTCCCTTCTCTCCAGGACATAGTGCCTTTTGAGGTGACCATGGACAGAAGGTGACTTGCACTTGCGCCCACCCCAGGAGTCTGCTCTGGAGTTGGAATGGCTGCTGTTAAGGAAATGTGCAGTTCATGTGTTTGTGAAATCTGCTGAAGCGTGGAGTGTGAACTGCGGGTTGGGCTGCCTTCCGCAGCCTGTGGGCAGCCTGGCATGGTGGTTGGGACAGCGCTGGATTACCTCTTTATAATCCTGCTGGGATGTTAAGAATGACCTCAATAGCACTTCAGTGTTTGTTATTTTGCTGCCAGGTGATTTAGAAGAATCTCTCTTTTAGTTTGTTTCCCTGGCCCTAACAACTTCCGAGCCTTTCTCAAGTGTCAGCTGAAATCTCCAACAGCCTCTGCCATGCTCTGAAGACTTCCAGTTCCTGCTGGAAGTTGTTTTTTCACATTTAAAAAAAAAAAAAAAAAAAAAGCATATGGAAAAACTGAGAACAGAACTGTTAAATCCTATATGGAGTTAACCATCAGGATTGTTTGCTGCACTATTGATTTCTCCATTTGATCGATTAAAGCTTTATTTTGTAATGTAAATTACTGACTCAGCCCTAGCCTGCTCTCTTTGTTACACACAGGGTGTGCAGTCGGGCTACCCCGGGATATATGGGATCAAGGATATGAACTCCCACACACAAGTTAGTGTGCTAAGTGTTTGCCAGACACATCAGAGTTCATACCAGGCTGTGGCTTAAAATTTTTCTTGTTTGCTGCTTCCCCTTGTTTTAAAGATGCATTTGAGCATCTTTGTTGTTTCCCCCCCAGCTGCTCACAAACAAGTTCCAGCTGTTGAGGAGGAAACTGCTTCCGAATATAAGGTACCTGCAAAAATCAAGGTGCTAGCGCAGCCGCTGCTCTGAAAAGGAAAAGCAGAGACCAGCAGCTCCCTATGTGCTCCCCTTTCCAGGGCCTGCACGCGGGCTTTTCACGCTTGGCTCTGCAGCTAGGCCACCTCGGGCACCTGCGCGTTACTCATGCTTGCGCCCGAGGGCTCTCACGGGGAGATGCAAGGCTTTGACGTGGGCTGCCACGCTGGGGTTTCCATGCATGATGGCTTTCGCTGGCTAGACTGCGATTCTGCACACATGCACGCACAAAAATATAATTGGGATTACAGAGGATCAAAACCAGACTGGGAGCCAAAAAGGTCAGACAGTTGGGGAAAAATAGGAGCGCAGCGCAAAGGAGGCACGGCTGCCGTGTGTGCATGAGCTGTGTGATAATCAGTGCACTGTATTTATTGCTCTTAAGTAGCATACCAAGCTCAAGGCTGTACCCAGTACAGTCCCACTGCTGCCTAGAAAGCAACTGGGGAAAAAAGTTGCTGGGAGAGTGACAAGAGCTTGGGGACTAATGGAGCTGAGTAACTGGGGCTGTTTGGGAAAGACAGGGCTGGAGAGTGAATTGCAGACTGCCTTCAATTGGTAAACAAAAGGTGAAATTAAGCTGCTTTTTAACGCTCACCAGAACCGGGAAGAGAAGGCAGTTGGATTGTAGCAGGGGCAATGGAGGACAGATGTTAAGGAGTCACTAGGAGTAGCGAGGCTCAAGCAGGGCTTGAGCTTGGCAGGTAAAGCCCTGGTTAGACAAACCTCTCTGGGGAGTGCTGGGATGAGCTCTTGTTGGACCTGTGCTGGGGACGCAGTGACGTTGGGCTGTCTCGGTGCTTGCAGATGAGTCCACTGCTTTGGCACCTGCTTAGGGTTCAAGTTAACTAATTCCTGGGATGATGGCTGCGGAGGAGCGCAAGGGCAGACCCTCGCCAGGCAGTGAGGTGGTCCTGGGGAGGAAAGGCAGGGAAGAGGCCGAGGTATGAGAGGGCAAGGCAGGGGGATGAGCCGCAGCCCGCTGCCCCCTCCCCAGGCCCTGCCTCCCTCCACGCCCGGGGCCGCCAAGCCTGGCCTGGCCAGGTCGATCGCCCGCCTGCTGACACCGACACGTGGGTGCCCGCACCCGTGGGCGCCATAGCCCCGTGCCTCCGCCCGCCACCTAGAGGGCGATATT